GCAGTGGTGAAGAATTTTGTGTTCTTGATGTTTAGATGTAATCCATATTCAAAGCTATAATCTTTGATCTTCTTCAGTGAGTGCTTCAAGCCTTCTTCACTTCCTGCAAGCCAGATTGTGTCGTCTGCATTGACATAAGTTTGTTTGTTTTTTTGCTTTGAGTTTTCCCACTTAACTGATTTTATCTCCTTGTTTAAAAAAAAAACAAATCAGCTGAGCATAGATAGATGAGCTGATTTCTGGGTTCTTAATTCTATTCCATTGATCTGTATGTCTGTAACTGTGCCAGTACCACGGTGTCTTGACCACCACGGACGGCTGTGTAGTAGGATTTGAGATCAGGGAGTGAGATGCCTCCTACCTTGTTTCTCTTTTCTAAGGAATGCTTTACTTATTTGGGGTGTTGGCCATTTTTAATCCCGTGATCTGTTCTACATCAAGTCTCTAGGTCTGCCTTGGCTGCTCCTCCTGTTTCAAAGTATGTTCTACATTTTCCTGCCACTTTGTCATGATGAAGAGGGTCCCTTTCCTCTTCTATTGCAGAGAAAGAGCCCTTAATACAGGTTGTTGATGAGTCTTCTTCCAATCCTGACAGTCTCCCAATCTTCTTAGGTCTAGCTTCTCAGATGATTTGCTCAGCATACAGATAAAGAGTTAGGGAGTAAGGATAAAATCCTGATACACACTTTTCCTCATTTTAAACTGTCCAGTGTGCACTTGCTCTGTGGATAACAGCTTCTTGGTCTATGTATAGGTTTCTCATGAGCACAGTTTACTCAGTGTTATCCATAATTGGTTATGATTCACACAGTCAACTGCCTCTGTATAGTCAATGGCACACAAGCAAACATTCTTCTGTTATTCTCTGCTTTCATCCAAGATCTGTCTCATATCAACAGTGATGTCCTTCTTTCCAAGGCTTCACCTAAATGCAGCTTGAATTTCGGGCAGTTCTCTATTAATGTACTACTATTCCAGCTGTTTTGTATAATCTTTAGCAAGATTTTACTTGGCTGTGATACTAATAATATTGTTTGACAATTTCAACATTCTGTTAGATAGCCACTTTTAGAAATGGGAACAAATATGGATATCTTCCAGCCAGTTGTTCATGTAACTGCCTTTCTAATTTTTTTACATAGGCTGGAAAGTACATCCGGGGCACATCTGTTTGGTGAAACATTCAACTGGTATTCTATAAATTCCTGGGACTTTCTATTTTCCAGTGCTTTCTGTACAACTTGAATTTCTTCCTTCATTACCGTTGGTTCTTCCAGAAATAATTCTGTGTCAGCCATTCTTTTTGGTTCAGTGACTGAATTCTTTCCATCTTCATGTCATACTTCCTAGATTATTCAAGAGTTTACCCCTAGAATCCTTCAGTATTGCAATTCGAGGCTTGAATTTATTCTTCCAGCTTAAGAAATGCCAAGCATGATCTTCCCTTTTGTTTTTCTAACTCCAGCTCTTTGCACATTTTGTTATAATATTTCACACTATCTTCTTTCGCTGCCTTATGAGGTCACCTGTTCATTTCTCTTCAGCATTCTCTTTATTTTGGCCTCTCTATATTCTCTTGCAAGTTTCAGAGTCTCTTCTGACATCCATTTTGGTGTTTTCTTTCTTGCTTGTCTTTTTAATGGCCTTTTGCCTTCTTCATGGATGAGATCTTTGATGTCATCCTACATATCTGGTGACTAATGTTCAGTGCATCAAATCTTTTTCTAGAGATGATATTTAAAATTAATTTGTGATAGACTCAAAGTCATATTTTGGTTCTTGTAGACTTGATTTCATTTTCTTCATCCTTAATTGGAGTTTATCCATGGGTGACTAATGGCCTGTCCCACAGTCTGACCTTGTTTGGACTCCTGATGTTGAGCTTCTCCAGCCACTCATTTCCTAGATGCAGTCAATCTCATTTATCTGAATTTCATCAAATGATGTTCATGTGTATAACTGCCTTTTATGTTTCTTTTTAAAAAAAACAATATTTGCAGTGAGATTTTTTTTCTATTAAAGTAGGCAAGCAAAATTAAACCAAACCAAACCCATGGCCATCAAGCTGCTTCTAATGCATAGGACCTTGTACATAAATCATGATTCCTTTATCCTTATATTTTGAATACGTGATGTTTACCACCTGTTGTGATAATCACCACCAGGTTGGCTCTTCAGGAAGATGATCCTTTCTCCAACTCCTAGTTGTCTCCTGAGGTATTGAAGCAAAAATCCTCCATTCTTTTAAAAAAATCTCGAGTGATAAATTGATATTTGTAGTCTGGCTCAAGATAGGGCAGGCTTCAGAGTGGTTGTTCATTGTCTGTGGGAGTCCTAGTGGACTAGTGAGCACCTAACTACAGGCCTTTAATTACTTAGTTTCTTTCACCCTTATAAAGCTCATGGATGACTCTCAACTGGCAGTGTGTTTTCTGTTAATTCAGATCTTAGACATAAAGCATTCTGAGATTTGCCTGTTAGAAAACTACTGCCCAATCTTGTGGTCTGGATTTCCTACTTGTATTTATAGTCATACCTTTGGAACGGAAAATACAACTTTGAGTTTTGTCCTGAAGCTTTAATTTTGTTCCTTTAGCAGTAATTAATTCTAATTTCATGATAGCAGGAAACTAGGTCTTAATCAGTCTTTTTTGTGTTTGCAAGTTTCTGCTGTTAACGGGTGAGTTCTGGTGGCCTAGTGGCAAGAAGCTGCATTGCAATCCCAAAGGCATGCATTTCAAATCCACCAGCTCCTCTGTGGGAGAAGGATCCGCAATCGCCTTTCATGCAATTAACTAACTCTGAAAACCCACTAGAGGGTCAGCTGTGGATCAGTTCTGATTTAACAGTACACAACAACAACACAGACGGTTCAGTCACTTGGCAAACATTTACTAAACATCTACTATCTACTGGAGGCAGGGATCTTTTTTTTTTATTATTTGTGTGTGTGCGTGTACCGTCAAATCAGATCTGACTGGTACAGGAGATTATCCCTCCTTTCCCGGCAGAGCATCTGGTGGATTCGAACCATGCTCCTTTGGGATTGCAGTGCAGCTTCTTGCCACTAGGCCACCAGAGCTCCCCTGGAGGCAAGGATCTTGAAACTCAGACTCACATACTTCGGGCCTGTTGCCAGGAGGGACCTTGGCGAGGGACATCTTGGTTGGAAGGGTGGAGGGACAACACAAGAGAGGAAGACCCTGGATGAGATGGATTGACTCAGTGGCTGGGATAAGGGGCACAAGTGTGTCAGAGACAAGGAAATTGACTCAAGAACAAGGATCAGGGCTATTATGACTTGATGGCACATGACAACATACACAGGACCCACCTGCCTCTCCTTGATGTCAGAATATAATCACAGAAAAGGCACTTTAATGGACAGTGGTAGGTTCACATTAGAGATCAACATATACATGTGAAGTTTGTCTTCATTGGACTTGCTGAGGAAAGGTCATATTGGAGGGGGTTGAGGACATACAGAGTCTACTCTGTCACTTCTTTTACTAAGTAAAAGGCTCGTGGAGGCATTGATACAGCAGAGCATCATTCCTATGGAAGCACCTGGGTTCTACCTCTTATTAGCCCCAGATTAGTGTTATCATCTCTTTTGCTTCTGTTTCTTCATGTTCTAGATGACTTTCATGTAGGGTGGTTTGGAGGGATGAATTAAGATTGTGAAAGTTAAATATTTAGGAAAATATATAGGACACAGAATTATGTAAATACCATACCTCCTTTGTGCTCTATTCACAAATAACTGTTAACCTAAACTTTTGTTCCTTTGGAATGTTGGTCAGCAGTGCATGAACTTTATGAAGGAATGGGGGAGTGTGAGTAATAAAACAAGTAAAAACCACAAGGGACTCTTCACCATCTTCCCTGATTCTTTCAAGTTGCAGCCATGAAGATCAAGCTGTGTGGGTTCAGTGGACACAGTATTTACCCTGGACACGAAAGGCACTACCAGGACCAGTGTTAACGTGTTCCAGATCCTTAATGCAAAATACGAGGTGCTATTTCTTTCCAAAAGGAATCCATGGCAGAGAAACTGGATCATTCTCTACAGAAGGAACAAAAAATACCAGTGGGAAAAAATGCAAAAGATAAGAACCTGTCATGCAGTCACGTTCCAGACATCGCTGGTTCATCTCCTGCTGATATAGTTGCTGAGGGGAACCAAAATCCTGCAGTTAGGTGGGCTCAATGAGGACAGTCTTTCAGGACACCCAAAGAAGAAAAACGGCTGTACAAGCACCTGAAAAGACTGCAATGGCTACTGCTGAGGCTCCCACAGGAGCAGCACCTACACAAAACCCATGAAGCCTGTGAAAGTTTCTGCTCCCCAAGTTGGTAGAGAACACTAAGTTGGCAGATGAGTCTTCAATTAGAACTCTTAAAAAAAGTGAGGGAAAAGAAAAACTTACTCACTCCTCCCTCCCCAAGGAAACTCTCAGCCCTACCTGTATTGTCTTCTCCTCACGCTTGAGATTTGGGATGACAGAATACTCTGCACTAGATCTGTCCTCCACAGGGTCCCAAAAGGAGAAGAAACCTGCTTGTTAGGCCACAAGGAATCTGAAATGATGCCTCATAGGCAAGTAGGTGTTTACTGTAAATCTGTTCTCATTTCATGAATAAATATGACAGAGTAACAATCACAGAAACAACTTTTATAATATGTAATAGTGGATGAGATGAAAAAAATCCTGCAATAGTATATCCAGGTACAGATAATGCTCTATATAATAGCATGCATGGATGATAGTGTGCCATCAAAAATGGTTTCAGGTGATACAGCTAGTCCTAATAAAACAATATATTGGTAGGAATAGTCCAAGAGAGTATAGAGTCATTTGAATTTAATATGCATCGCATTGTTTCATGAAATGGGAAAAGTAGTAAAATATGTTTTCACATATGTGTGTGTGTGTGTATATATATATATACACAAACACATAATTAAAAGTTTGAAGAATCACTCCACCTCCCTTCCTTCAGAATGTTTCCTCAGAATCTAAGTCCAGACCAGAGCCATCAGTCCCCACTGCAGCCTTGTGTCTCGGAGCCTCTGTGGCTCTGTTTCCCATACTTGGCATCTCCTCCAAATGCTTCTGTTCAACCTCGGGTTGTTCCTCTCCTTTCCTTCCTTCATCTTCTAATCCAGAATCCTTTGGTCCCACGTTTGCTACATATTCTACTGCCTCTGGCTGGGTATCTGAGGCCTCTTCTGAAATGTTTTCTGCTGATACTCCTTGGGTTTTTAGTGACCATCTTCTTCCTGAGAAGATGGCAAGAATAAGTAGACCTAAAAATACTGCAATAAGAAACAGTGGCAAGATATATACTATGTTGCCAAGACTCTCATTTTCATCTTTGTCAACTCTATCAACTGTGGTAACACCACTATTATCATTTATTCTTTCTTGTAGAATGGGATTTAAGCCATTGGTATTAGGAGGAGGACCACTGTCCACACTACCCCCGACACCCGGTGCAATGCAGTCAGGAGGGGCAAAGCCTTCATCACAATGACAGTGCCTCAAATGATTGCAGATGCCTTTTCCATTACACATTTCAGCTGGTTCACAGTCATAGTTGAGCACAGTGTGGGCCACGCAGGCATGATTCATACAGACTTTGTGTGGGGCACAGTAGGTGCCATTCTGCACGTCTCCCTTGTCAGAGATGTTGGCACCATCAGAGGCATCCATACTCCAACACCAGCCATCCAGATAAGGGACCTGGATGAGTGTGTATGTGGACTTGATAGTTGGCAATTGTGTAACATCCGTACACACAAGTTTTCCACAGAATATGTCATCTCCTATACACCTAGCATGGACTGGCTCCATCTCAGAGGGGCGGCCACAGTTTCCAAAGCGGTCTCCTTTGCTGTTCATTGACAAGTAGCAGTGTTCTGATGCTGATCTTGCAAACATCCCATAAATACTCACACACTGCCTGTCAGGGTTCTTGCACTGACCCTGGAAACAGTAGTTACCTTCTTCACAGGATGTGCCGTCTTGCTTATAGGTGTCTGCAGGGCATTCTGCAGACTCCCCATCACAGTACTCAGGGAGGTCACACTCATCTCCGGAAGGACGACAAGTGTGTCCCCTCCTCCTGAATTGGCACTCAGAGCAGCAGAGTCCCTGACTACACTGTGCGTCTGCGTTCAGTTTACATAAGGGGTCGCAGCAGGGGTGACTGTCACACGTGGGCCCACAGTCACACTCCTCGGTCTCCTCCACCACACCGTTCCCACAGGTGGAAGACCTCCGCTGTCGAGCTACAGGCCCTGGCTTGTTAAACAGACACTCCCCTTGGAGTTCATGGAGAAACCGGGAGAAGGCCTGAGAGCTGCAGTTACTGAAGCCCCCTTCTTTTGTGATGTTCTCATGCATGAGGCAGAAGTACTTCTCTTTACAAATGCAGGCTGCATGGTCGTGCTGAATCCCCAAGTTGTGCCCCAGCTCGTGGGCCATGAGTGCGGCAAACAGCAGGACATCGTCATGATGGAAGGCCTCAACTGCTGCCGCAAAGCCGCTGGAACAGGCCCCGCTGAGAAATGCCTGTCCCGTGGTCTGGCCGGGCTGATGCCCAACAATCATGTGGGCAACATCGTGCTGCACACGACTCGCGAGCTCCTGTTGCCTCCAGCTGTTGAAGTTGCTGAGTGTCCCCTGCAGGTCCACTGGGACCTCTATGAGGTCTCCCTCCGTCCAGATCTCCATTCCAGCCAGCACCACCTCTGTGTTTATTGCCTTAGTGAAGATGTTGGCCAGAGCAATGGTGCCCATCACTCCCTGGATGGTCTCGTTGATGTTACTGCCCCACAGTTGGAACCGCCGGTGGTTCACCACAACAAACATCTCCACATACTTGGGCTGTGACCACAAGGAAGACAGGATCTTCGGATGTGGAGGCTTCCTGCCCCCTTGTTGCTGGTGGATGGGCACCCCTTGACTCACCCTGGAGGTCACACCACAGGAGACAGGAGCTGGCTGTGCCATGGTGTACAGCTTGTGTTCAAACTTTTCTGAAGACTCTAGGGGCTCTATGCCATAGAACTGTTCCTCCTTAATCAGAATGCCCTTGAGGCCTGAACAGGTGCTCACAGACACAAAAGAGCCTGGGACTCCTTCGATGTAGCCTTCAGAGTAGCAGTCATGTGAGAGGGAAGGCGTTTCCTGCCCCAGGATCCCATTGTGATAGCTGAAGACTGGAAAGTTACTCACAAAATAGCCTTTCTTCACCTTCAGGTGAATCACCTGTTTCTGGCCCTGTATGGATAGCGTGTAGGATGCCCTTCCCACT